AAACTAAAACTAGATTTAAAACTAAATTAAGATTTAGGAAATATAACAGAAAAGAGAGGCCAAAATATGGATTCCGTGTATCTCAAGGACTCGGTAACTCATTGGCGTCAATTGCATTCAGTAGAAAATACCAGTTTAAAGACTCTATCTCACACTCTCACGCTATTGATTAAAGCCACACTTCCTAACCATGAGATTTGCACTCGCTCGCCCATTTTAATTAAGAAGCATATTTTGAAAACTAATTAGATCATAATTGATACCTAAAGCGCTCTCGCTATATTTAGGATCAATACCCAGTTCCCACTATCCGGTCCAATTCACACATTCTTGCGCTATTGACTCAGACCTTTATTTTCTTTTCACTCTCGTGACAAAACCATTTGAATTAAACTTGGAAACTAAAGCCAAAACTGAATTTAATAAAAGGTTTACGCCAATTTATTATCGAGTCACGTCGGAACGATTGTCCTCACATACCGGACCTAAAATAATTTATCCAGATATGGTTACGGAAACAATTAAACAATTTTGGGTTTTTGAATTAACTAAAGACATAATAAGAGGTTTAAAATAATTTAAAGCGGTGCTTGAAGAAAATGGTAAGATCTTGAAATGATAACAATGGCAGAAAGATAAAGCGTAAACGTAAATTACGGAAAACAAATGCGATGAATGTAAATGAACCTGAAATAAAGCTGGAATGTAAATTGAATTAAGAACTTAAAATAGCGGCAAGATTGATCCGAACATTACACAGATTGTTGGCCTAAATATTAATGATGTGGTAGTTCCTCGGTGTGAGAAAACTACCACTTTTACAATGATAATTTCTGCCTAAAACCATGAACAGTGCTTCTGCGTACAAAACATGGATAGCTCAAAAAATAGGTAAAATGAGTCTTATATATAAGTCTTAGGCTACAAAACTGTTTCCAATATGTGTAGAGAAAGTGGAGAGAAAGTTGGAAAGTGGGCAAGAGTGAGTCCATGTCTGTATTATGTATTTTGTAACTGCATGATAATGGCGACCACCATTATGCTAATGGCGAACGCCATTAGACTCATGGCGACCGCTATGTACCAGAAAATGGCAAATTCTACACTTTTTCTTTATTTCGTTGTTCTTTTCCTAGTTTTCTTGCACGAACGCTCTTATTCAACAAATACCTGAAACGCAAACATAATATGATATAATAATACAAAAAACAAATAAAACAACATTAAATTGCATGCAAATCGAGTCAAAATAAACGATACATTTTCACGTCATCAACGATCCACCGTCTCACACAACTCCCTTGTAAGACACCCCTTGTCCCAAGGCTTTCACTCGATCGAATCCGAATTGCGTAATCTTGTCCAAAACCTTCAAATCCTCAATGATCTTAAAAGAAAACCACAACTTGGTTTTCTTATTTGAAACACTCAAAGAACTCAATCCAATAACCTAATTGGACGTTATCAACCCTAATCTAGATTGTCACCCAATCAAAAAATGATTATGTGTAGTTTGATTTTGTGTATGCATATAAGAGAGGTTGCAGATGATGAGTATGCTTTAAATTATGGTTTCATGTAGATTTTACTCTAGAACCTTACTAGACAATGATATATATATATATATATATATATATATATATATATATATATATATATATATATATATATATATATATATATATATATATATATATATATATATATATATATATATATATATATATATATATATATATATATATATATATATATATATATATATATATATATATATATATATGCAAGATGTGAAGCAAAGGGCATGCAACATGACGAATTTGGGATCCCACAGTAGCATATGCATCAGTTAGTCCTAAAACGAGTTGAAGAACTAAACGTTCATTTGATATAGGGGCACCAACATTAGCTAGTTGATCAGAGAGAGACTTGAGATGCTGACAATAGGAGAAAACATCATAAAATTGCTCCATATGAGTTCGCAAAAACTCTTGCTCTGGGTAGAGAGCCCTAGAATTCTTGTTAACATAAAAGATGTCGAATAAGCGATTCCACTTGATTTCAGCTGTGAATTATGTTCGATGATAGTGTTGAGAAGTTCATCAGAGATTGTTCCATATATCCACTGTAAAACGATGGCGTCGAGACGAAGCCATAAATGTGGATCAGAAGTTTTGAGAGAGGGATTTGCAGCTGGTTCAGAGGGAATGATATGGCCAATCACTTTAAAATCTCGAGCATGAATTTTGAAAAGTTTTGACCATGTCTTATACGTGCCCTTTTCAATGCTCAGAGTAATCTTAATGAAATTAGTAATATTTGGGACAGTGAGAGCAGGGTGAGCCGTCGTAGGAGTGAGAGGTGGAGGAGGAGGGTCGGTATGACCGGTGGAGTGTGAGGAAGAGTTGTTGTTGGAGGAATTAGTAGTGGTAGTCATGGCTGTTTTGGGGTGGTTAAAGAAAAAAAATGAAAGATAGGAAGAAAGAAGGTTGACGACTGGTTTTAGGGTTTGGGAACAGATCAAGCGTGATACCATGTAAGAGAGTTTAGGCTGTGCCTTTTCATTGATCTGTTAGTCATTTATATACACAATACAATTATGTGGTTATGATTCTAATAATCATTTGCAATCAATACTAATAATAATCTTTCTATATTTACATATTTAATACTCCAGAATAAAGCCAACTGACACAACAAATTACTAATCCTCCTACCCTAAACCACTATCCATCACACACTTCTAAAACTGCTATAACTAGTGGCTCAATTCTTCATTTCGCGTCAAAGACTAATTTTCGGACAGTTTTTGCTTTCTTACAATTACGACATGAGCAAGGGAAATTGTTTTGTTTTGAGTCCCACTGTTTTTTTGGTAGAGTTCTTACGATTATGCTAGCTTATTATTAAAAGTAAATAAAATAGTAGAACTCATTTCGACGACATGAAGAGCAGAAGTAATTTATAATCTCATAATCACATATAGAAAGTAGCAAATGACCTAGATTCAATGATTTTAATTTTATTTATACCAAGTTTTAACCATAATTTTACCAAACAATAACATTAAACTACAACATAAAGGTTGTAACTCAAACATCATATAACACACATGAATTGGTTTGAGTATTTGGTTATGGCAATGAGTTTAAGGCTTGATCTCAGTATAACATATTCCTCTTAACACATAGGTACAACAATAAATTTTTCTTGAAAAACACAAACAATGTAGGCTAAACATACATACCTAAAGGGAGGCAGATAGAAGAACAAAGAGCCTTCAAAAATTAAGATTTTGCTCTAAATCTGTGGTAACAAAATCATATCAGAACATAAAAATAATATCAATCATTCTCTCTCTCTCTCTCTCTCTCTCTATATATATATATATATATATATATATATATATATATATATATATATATATATATATATATATATATATATATATATATATATATATATATATATATATATATATATATATATATATATATATATATATATATATATATATATATATATATATATATATATATATATATATATATATATATATATATATAAGAGAAAAGGGGGATCAAGAGAACCTTAAATGAATGAAAATACAGAGAGCGTGAGTTAGGTTCGATTATCCCAATGTAAGATAGCACTTTTAGTAAAGCGCTATCATAAGTGCGCGTTAATTTTTTGTTTTAATTGTCATTATCTATGTTAGCGCTTATTCTAAAGCGCTAATAAAGGCCCTAATTTTTTTAAAAAAATCCCAATATATAATACCGTTTATGATAAAAGCGCTATTAACTTATGATAGCGCCCGTGAAGTAAACGCTATTAATTATTTCGGGGTAATATTTTTAATAGCATTTTTCATATAAACGCTATTACATATGTGATATTATTGCTAAAAAAATGTAGTAGTGGGAGCTTATTCTTGGATCTTAGAGTCATTGTCATGGAACTTGAACAAAAATGGTAATTGTTGGTCGAAAGCAAAGGTGAAACGAGCACTATTAATGTTAGATTTTTATTGGGGTGCATGAAATAAGGATAGAGGGTATCCGTTTGATAACCCTTGTTATTAACATTTGGTGGAGGGCGACCATTGATGCTGCTTGCAGAGCTTGCGGTAGACATGGTGGCCAAAAAAAGAAAAACTAAAGAAAAACGAGAAAGGACAAGGTGGGTGAGATAAGTTAAACGAGTGCAGTGGTTGAGACTTGATCATAGGTCGATGATACCATGTTAAGACTCAAATCAAGCTCATGAAAAGACATGAAAATGCAAAAAGAAAACTGAACATTGATGGAGAAAGAAAGTTGCAGAAGTATATTACTCATCATCATGCATACATGCAAGTGGGTTAACTTACTTATCAACTAACTACAAGATAACTAACTAGAAGTTAGTTGCAACTCGGTTAAGTTATGTTATGTGTTAGTTAGTTTTCATCCATCTCTTCATTAGCTTTAACAATACACATTTATATGAGACTGTTGGTGAATCGCAACACAGAAATAAAAATGTATTTTCTCCGTTTCACAATAAATGATCCAATTGACAATTTCACACAGATTAAAGAAAAAGGAATAAATGAAAGAGAGAATGATATTCTTACTAAAGTATCTCTTATCAAATATTGAGAATGGTAAAAATAATCAATGTAATGGATCTGTTATACAATCTAGATACATAGATTATTCAATGAGTCTAAAAGTAAAGTTTCTCTTATAAATAGAACCAAATGAAGTATTTATTAGAATGAAAAATTGAAAAATGTGCATTAGAAATTAAAATGGATTATTTTAAGATTTTTTTTATTCTAAATTAGTCACTCATTAATGGACGGAGGGAGTACTTGCGATATATTTGTTACAAGACATAGGCATATCACAAATTTCAAGTCCAAGAATGGATCTCTAGACATACAAATCTGCTGCCTTATTTAGTTTGTTCGTTTATCATGCTAACAAACCAGCTAATTCCACAATTTCGAACTCTCAAATCTTGAAATGTTGAAGAGCAGAACTGCCATCAAGACCTTTTGCTTTATAGTAAGCTAGATAATTAGTAGTAGTGGTTTCTCTGTATTTGGGAGAATTGTCTTTTGATAATAATTCTTTTATAGGTCCGTAGAGCTTTTCTTGACCCCTAAAAAAGCATGCAACAGATATTCTAGGACCAATGCTATTCGCCAGTACTCTGTGTTCAACACTCTTAAACCTATCATTTGTCACAAGCTGCAGTTCAAGAAAAATCATAATTATCTACTATCATGTTAAGCTAATTTCACACGCAATAGTAACTGAATCCTGAAGTACTAATAGAGAACTTGCCTGTAGAAGATCGCCAATATTAACAACAAGAGCCTCAGGGATTGGGGGTACATCAATCCACTTGTCCTCATGAAGAATTTGAAGCCCACCGATATGATCTTGGAGAAGCACAGTCAGAAAACTACCATCAGAGTGTTTGGTGGTTCCCATAGTTAATTCTGGTTGAGGACAAGCAGGATAGTAATGACCAAGTAGCATAATCCACTTAGAACAATCCATTTCTTTTAAATGCTTTGGATCCAATCCAAGAGCTTCTGATAGTAATTCAAAGAGTGTCATTCCAAGTTTCTCTACATGTGCTCCATATTCCAGAACTATATCCCTACAAAAAGATGAAACCACCAAACCATAACTAACGAGGCTTATAATGCGAGGAAGTAAATCAGAAACAAGAACTCACCTGCATACTAGTGGCAAATCTTCTGGTTTTGGAGCATTAGGAGCAATGTTCCATTTAAAAGTATCCCTCCAATTAAGTGCTTGTGAACTATACAAATCAAAATTACTATTATAAACAAACGGTCTTGTCCAATCTCTAGTATACATCGCTTTCTTTACTTCAGTATCTTGTTCAAAGAATTTAGCCACACCATTTTTCATATCCTCAACAACATTCAAAGGTATACCATGATTAACCACTTGAAAGAAACCCCATGTCTCAGAAGCTTCCTTTATTCTGCTTATAATATCTTGCCTTGTATTTGTAAAGTCTATAACAGGAACGATGTGTTCGTTATTGGTTGAATTTGTGGGGTTTGAAAGCTTATCAGGTGGATGATGAAATAAGGTTGGGATTTTGACAACACCTTCATCAACAAGGCCTTTAACACCAGCTTTTGTCTCATCAAAAGCTTTGAGTTCATGCATCCTATTATCAGAATTCGATTTGAACTTGATTTCAATTTCATTTGTAGTTGCAGATCCCATGTTAGTTTTTTTTTGGTAGTGTGCTTGGAGTGATAATTGTTTGTGGAAGCTGTGAAGAGTTGTTTATATTATACTACTAAGAAAAGTTGTAAGATGATGTTTGTGCTAGGCACCTTTTGTATGAGGCGTGACACTTTTTTTCCATTCTATCACTTTCTACGCAATTTCTCCAAAATTTTCCACACATGTGCTCTTATCTTTAGACTAATCAAATTATCAAAATCCTCTGGATGTCATTTAAACAAGAAAATGTCCAAAGTTTCAAAGGTATACAAGAGTCAAAATCAAAAGGAATAGATAATATTATGTTTCAGAAATTTTAAGTAAAATTTTTTAATTATTAATATCTCATGTTTCTAATTCTTTCGTAACTTTTGCTTCATCCTTTATTTGTGGACATAGTAGAGGTTCCATTAGTATAACTTCCCTCTTCTTTTTTTCTTCTAAAATTTCTCATTTGCATAGTTCAATAAGAATAATTTACTCCGTTAATTTAAAAACTAACAAATTGGAAAAATCGTCTTTATCACAAACCATTAAAATAAATTGTGAAAATAAAATCGCTATCACTGTAGCAACACAACCTAAGCAATTGAAAAAACAAACATAGAAAAGAAAAAACAACACTAAAATATCCCTCTCTCTCAACAATAATGACATTTTTCACACATTTCTCGCTGGTTGTTTCTCAATTCACTTTTCCACTCTGGGATTTGTTGACAAACCAATAGAAATAAAATAAGTCACAAAACACACAATAAAATAAGTCATGGTCAGGGTTGTTAAGAGAGATTTTTACTACAGAACATTTCTATTCATTCATTTTTACTAGGGAGCAAGATCTTTGTGAGGGACACATCACATATTTATCCAAAATTTTAAGATAATAGTGGATGAGTTTTCTCAACAATGCTCCCCCTTAAGCGAAAGCTCTTTTCATCTACATACACTTGTGAAACTTTTCTTTTCTTATAGCAACACCTTTGTGAGAGATACACCACATATTCACCAAAAACCTTAAGGTGATAGGTATGTGAGTTCTCCCACTTATAAATACTCAAGTCACCACATTTTTATTCAATGTGAGACTATTATCCATACTATTCACACTTATTATATTTAACAGGGGTGGATAGATTGTCTAAATACAATAATTTTGTGTTATTAAAAAACTCTCTCATATTTGATAGCTTTTATTTTCTTTCCAAGTTGATGTTTGACTTCAGCTTTGAATGACTTGAACACGTCCAAAGATTGAGATTTCTCATGAATCAAATACAGGTAGTCATACCTCGAGTAATCATTTACGAACGTAATAAAATACCGTTGTCCATTCCAAGAACCTGTAGGGAAAGGACCACATATATCAGTACGAATTAGTTCTAAGACATCCTTAGCTCTTTCAACATGGAAATTCCTATTGTTTGTCTGCTTACCCTTGATACACTGAATGCAGACTTGAAAGTCCGAAAAATCAAGGGATCTAAGAATATCGTCCGACGTAAGCCTCTGAATTCTTTGTTTAGATATATGTCCTAATTGCTTATGCCATAAAGTGCTGAAATTCTCATTTAATTTTCGTTTTGTACCATGTGACTCTATTTGCATTATTTTATTATAAGGACATTCAATATCAAGCATATAAAGATTATCATTCAAAGAACCATAACCAACAACATTTGAATCATATGAGAGGCTAAATTTATTATTTCCAAACGAACAAGTATAACTTGATTTATCCAAAATAGAAATAGAAATTAAATTCCATCTAATAGACGGTGCAACAAAAGTCTCAATCAAATCCAAATAAAAGCCGGTCTTTAGTAATAATCTAAAAGTCCCTATAGCCTCTACTGTAACTTTATTTCCATCGCTCACATAGATGAATCTTTCAACATCACTTGGCGGACGGCTCCATAGGCAACCCTGCATGGACATACTAATGTGAGTAGTAGCACCAGATTCTAACCACCAAGTATCCTTAGGTACAGAAACTAAATTAATTTCAGAACAAACAAAAGTGAGAAAATTACCCTTCTTTTCACGCCATGTGGCATACTTGGAACACTCTTTCTTCATGTGTCCAGCCATTTTGCAAAAGAAGCAAGTAGTCTCCTAAGGTTGTTCCTTTGCCTTCTTATTTTGAGAAAATTTTCCCGCAGGTTTCTTTCTTTTATTTTGAGAACTGGTAGCCAAGTGAGCATTTTCAGTCTTCTCTATCTTTAGCCTCTCTTCCTCTTATGCACAATGAGATATGAGCTCATTGAGAGACCGTTTGTCCTTCTGATTATTGTAACTCACTTTGAATTGCCCAAAGTGCGCAGGGAGAGAGATCAAAACCAAGTGCACAATCAAATCCTAAGGAAGTTCTAACTTCAATGCCTTGAGTTTTGATGCAAAATTAGACATCTCCATGATGTACTCCCTTATGTTCCCTTTGCCCTTATAAACCATTGAAATGAGTTTGGACAAGGTACTACTTGTCTCAGCCTTATCATTTTTAGCAAAGAATTGCTCCACGATTACGAGGAACTTCTTGGCACTTTCACTCTCAGCAATTGAACCCCTAATCGTTTCAAGTATGGATCTTTTGATCATCAGGCACATTCGATTAGATCAGTCTCATTTTTCTATTTTAGTTTCATTTGGGTTCTTAGTAGTGGCAGTGGAACGCTCCTCCCTCAATGATAAGTCTAAATCCATGCATCAAAGCACGATCTCCACAGATTCTTTCCAAGACTTAAAGTTCATCCTACTCAACATAGGGATCAAGTTAATCTAAGAAACAAAATTTAGAGTGGTAGCAGCCGCAACTGGATCCAACAAACATACAATAACATTAGTAGGCATGTCAAATAACCATATAGACATGCATAATATTCTTTATATGCAAATTAAATAAGACCTAGGCAAAATACCAAAAAAAACACCATCAATTATGAATCTTTGATTGAAGGAATTAACTGTAAGAGGTACTCTCACGCAATAATCAAACATTAGTAATAAGTCCTGTATAATGGATGCCTTTGACATCAATCATTAACCACATGGATAACCTTGGTAATTACTACATATTTACCTTCACAGGTATGCAAATTTATGGTCAAACTGTGTCTTCCTTTTGGCCGGCCATAACAGTTCGCATGAAAAATTACACACTACATCTTTTGTAATTCTAATTGAATCAAATTTAAATAAATAACAGAGGTTACTTTTGCACCTTATTTTTTTAACTAATCCAATCAAAGTCACTAGACATTTTAATTTAATAAATTAAATGGTAAGGTCTTTAAAATTCACATAAACATTACCTGCAAATGTAATTGAATATTTTCCTTATTGTTTAATGATTGTGTTTATATCATGTACATACCGGTATAATAAACCGGTTGTACTCAAGGGTGTTAAAAAAATTCAAATTAAATTAACACTAAAAAAAATCTAATTAAAATAAAATTAACATTTAAATTTTTCTCATAATTAAAAAAAATTAAGTTGAATTCATAAAATAAAAATTGATATAGTTAAACATTATCGATTCGACAAACAGTAACCAAATGAAGTTTTTCCAAATGTCATTTGGTTTGGTTACATATAGTAATTACTATTTGTATTTAAAAACAATCAAATCAACCTTTTACACCAAACCAAATTCACAATGATACGTGTATATAACTCATATTATAACAACATCAACACTTTTGAGATATTACCATAAATTAAGGCCAAACGGGTTAAGAGAAATCTCATTTGACTTAAATACAAAGTCACAGAAAACACATAATACAACCCTCATCCTAAAAATACACTTTACAGTAAACAATTCTTCCCCTTACGATAACAATAAAAACTTGAACAATATATTTAATAAAAATCACATAATAATATATCATTTGAATTAATAATTTAATCATAACCTAAGCTCTGATACCATTCTTTAGAATTAAATCAATTCAATATACATGCTTACATTGGTCATACAAACATGTATAAAATTATAGGATCGAGAAATTGATTTTAGGAATACCCGGATCCATTGAGAAAAATGTCTTTGGTAATTCTAAACCCAAAAGTTGTTGGCTTTTGTGGTTCTTCCTCATTCGGTACTCCTTATGCCTTGAATTCTCTTGAGATGTGTAGAAGAGATAATTTGCTTGTTTTACGGTATATTGGGGACCATAGCCTATATATAGTGTGATGGCAAATTAGGGTTTCATTATTCTCAAATAGGCAATCCTGACATTAGCTCGTATTTGAGTCTATATCCAATTATTTAATTAATTAAATAATTTATAAATAAAATTTAAATAATCTTTTTAATATTATTTGATCACCTAATTATTAAAAGACACTTAATTGATAAAATAGATAATATAATAAATAAATATATTTGGCCACATAATTATTAAAAATTAGGGAAATACCACGTAAATTGAAGGTACTAAGTGAATTAATGACTGAGCCATAAGCAGTGGTTTGGTGGGCCATATAATCATCACTAGAAAAGGATCTCAAGTACAATCGAGATTCATCAAGTGGAAATGAAAATCCCTAGAAGATTTGACTTGGGAAGATGATGAAATCCTTCTAAGTTTGTTTCTTGTTTTAGATATTTTTAAGCAAAGTCTATAACTTTGTGGTTGATTATGATCTCCAATTAACTACAAGAGCTCCATGAATACGAGTTACATTAATTCATATATGGTCATAAAGAACTTGAATACCACCTATCTCCTCTTGCATAAGTATGGTTACAAAGTCCTGCATAAATTGTTACAAACATCATTGACGGCAATGACAAACACATATTAATATGTCCATTAAGAAATGCCAAGTGATTTTTTGTTACAAGACATAAGCATAACACAAATTTCAAGTACAAGAATGGATCTACAAACATTTGAAAATAATTAGTATGCCTAAACAAACCAGCTAATTCCACAATTTCAAACTCTCAAATCTTGAAATGTTGAAGAGTAGAACTGCCATGAAGCCCTTTT